CCGCCCTGCAAGCCCAGCGTGGTCCGCCTGTGCCCCACCATGGAGGACCTGGGTGAGTGGGGTCCGGGTCCCCTTGTGCCCAGCCCTGCATCGACCTCTGGACCCGCTTCCCCGTCCTGGAGCCCCCCGGCCCTCCCCGGCATCTCCTCATCCTGCCTCCTGTCTTCTCGCTTCTGCTCTCAGCCCGCGCCTCCTTTCCGACTCCACGTCCCCCTTCCTGCCTCTCCCTTCCTGCCTTTCCCGGGCCGGCCGCTCCCTCCCTCCTTCCTCTCCCTGCCCCTCCATCCCCAGCTGCGGACGCGCCGGGAGGTGCGTGCCTGCCCGCGGGCGCCGGGGCTCAGGGGCTCTGGGATGGGAGGGGTTGGAGGGGTCTTGGGTCCGGGACTGGGAAAGTAGACAGGAAAGGGAGGCTTTGACATCAAGTTCTGGAAAAGAAAGGGGCCTGCCCCGGGGTTTGGGGGAGGAAAGAGTTAAGGGTCCCTAAGTTTGGTAGGTGCCCGGAGAGGTTCAGGGTGCTCTAGGTGAAGAGTGAGGGGGCAGGGACTGCTGGGTTCTGGAAGGGAAAGGGGATGGGGGTGGGGTGAGGTGGGGTGGTAGTGGTGTCCGGGTGGAAGGAGGAGGCATTTTGCACTCCCTATCTGTCGGAACTGGGGCTGAAGGCTGTGCCCTCCAACTGTGAGACAGAAGGGGTTCCAGCACCCTGCAATAGGGGGTGCTGTTCAGTAGGGGTAGCGGGCACTGGTACTGTGGAGAATAAGCCAATCAGAAAGCAGGTCCCTGCAGACTCACCAATGAGGTGCATAGGGTGGGACCCACTGGGGCCTGGAGGTGAGCCAGCGCTGAGTGGGCGGGGCTAGGTCCGGGGAGGAATTAGTGGGCGTGGCAAAGAGCGTTCAATCAGAAGGCTGGGTGCCAGGCATGTAGCCAATTGAGCAATTTGGGGTGGAGTCAACTTTGGCTTCAGTAAAGAGCCAATTTTGACTGCATTAGGGAAGACTTTAAGAAAAAAAAAAAAATCAGACGGCTGGGTTTGTGCATGTCTCCCAGGATGAGCCACTGGGATATTCTGGTCAAATATATTCCTTACTACCCTTCCACTTCTCTGCCTTGGTCTGGCCTTGTGTTTCCTTCTTAATACTGGCTTCTGTCCTCAAATACTGCCCACTTGGAAGCCTTATCCTTTGATATCTTAAGGCCCTGTCTCGGTCCTAACCTTGACCTCTCAACTTCTCACCTTGACGGCCTCCCTGCAGATGCCCTGCTCTCTGACCTGGAGACCACCACCTCACACATGCCACGGTCAGGGGCTCCAAAAGAGCGACCCCCAGAGCCCCTCACGTCTCCCCTGCCCTATGGCCACCAGCCACAGGTGAGGTCAGATGCTGTGGACCAGGGCAACCACTAGGGCCAGTCTGGCCAAGGCTGGGGGAGTCTGGGCCCGAGTGAGGCAAGGTACTGGTCGATCACCCCGCACACGTGTCCGTCTCTCTGTAGGTGGGGACTGGGGAGTCTTCCGGAGCCTCTGGGGACAAGGACCATCTATACAGGTAAGCGGCCTGAGAACTGGGGGATGGGGAAGCCAATTGAGACTCAGGTGAGGAGTCTTCGATTCCCCACCCTGAACCCAAGCTCCCACCCTGTTCCCCAGCACGGTATGCAAGCCTCAGTCCCCAAAGCCTGCGGCCCCTGCGGCTCCTCCATTCTCCTCTTCCAGCGGTGTCCTGGGCACGGGACTGTGTGAGCTAGACCGGTTGCTTCAGGAACTTAATGCTACTCAGTTCAACATCACAGGTACCATGGTTCCTGAAACAGGCCTTGAGGGGCTGGGGCAGGGCAGGGCAGGGCAGGGCAGAGATGAAGGGGCATAGATTTCCCAGAGTAGCAGCTAAAAGGACACAAAGCCTTACGTGGGAGGGTGCGGAGAGCAGGCCCTGTGTCCACTGCCCTTCTCTCCTCTCTGCAGATGAAATAATGTCTCAGTTCCCATCTAGCAAGGAGACCGCGGGGGAGCAGAAGGAGGACCAGTCTGAGGACAAGAAAAGGCCCAGCCTGTGAGTTTGGCACAGTTGCCAGGTCTGAGAGAGGCGATTGGTCTTGGATGCCTGAGTGACTGGAGGGAGCGTTGCTCTGGGAGGCTCTGAGCTGACACACGTTGTTCTTCATAGACCTCCCAGCCCATCCCCTGTTCTCCCAAAGCCTTCGGCCACCTCGGCCACCCTGGAGCTGGACAGACTGATGGCCTCACTCTCTGACTTCCGAGTCCAGAACCATGTGAGTCAGGCAGGAGGGTGGGCCAATGTGGTTTTGTGGCTCCCTAACCCATTCTAGACCTTCCCACATCTGTTGCCTTGCTGACTCAACTCACATCCTCCCTGTTGTGTAGCTTCCAGCTCCTGGGCCAACCCAGACACCGGTGCCAAGCTCCGTGAACAAGGGCTCCCCATCCCCACCAGGGCCCGCAAGCAAGGGCAGCCTAGACACCATGCTGGGGCTGCTGCAGTCCGACCTCAGCCGCCGTGGCATTCCCACCCAGGCCAAGGGCCTCTGTGGCTCCTGCAACAAACCCATCGCTGGGCAAGTAAGTGCAGCTCTGCGAGGTGGAGACCCACAGTCTTCACTGAGCACCAGCCTTTGTGCTGTCCCCTTTAAATCAGTAACTCCGGAAACTGGGTGTTATTGTTATGCATATTTTATGAATGAGGAAACTGAAGCTCCGACTCACACAGCAAGTAAGGGGCAGGGTGGGAATTCCAACCCAGCTACCACTTATTGTAGCCTCCTATGTCAGCGGTTCTCAACCTGTGGGTCGCGACCCCTTTGGCAGTCGAACGACCCTTTCACAGGGGTCGCCTAAGACCATCCTGCATATCAGATATTTTACATTACGATTCATAACAGTAGCAACATTACAGTTATGAAGTAGCAACGAAAATAATTTTATGGTTGGGTCACAACATGAGGAACTGTATTTAAAGGGCCAGAAGGTTGAGAACCACTGAGGTAGATCCTCCTGACAGATAAAGTGCCCTGCTTCCATCCCAGAATTCCCGACCCGAGCAGAGCAGGTGGCATTATGACTTTCGGGGGCCTTACCCACGTTTGCCTTCATAGGTCCCTTCCTCCATTAAAAAATAGTAAACATTGTATTTTATGACTGTGTTAGTTTAAAGAGGAATATATTAATATTATCTATGAAACAGTTTTCTTGTAGCTCATTTTTTCCCTTCTGATTTTAAAAGAAATTACAACATTTCCGTGGGCTCCTAAAGAGTATTGTGGGCCCCAGGCCCTGTGCTGGAGGACCTGGGCTGAATCTCCATCACCTACAGCCGGAGTGACTTGAAAAGTGCCATGTAAACCTTGGCTCACTGGGGACATGGTGGCCGAAGGGCCACTCTGACCCTGGCCTCGACCCGACTCGCAGGTGGTGACTGCGCTGGGGCGCGCTTGGCACCCTGAGCACTTCGTTTGTAGTGGCTGTTCCACCGCCCTGGGAGGCAGCAGCTTTTTCGAAAAGGATGGAGCCCCCTTCTGCCCTGAGTGCTACTTCGAGCGCTTCTCCCCGCGATGCGGCCTCTGCAATCAACCCATTCGACATGTGAGCCCTGCCTGGCCCACAGGCGAGGCGCTTCTCACCCAAGCGACCCGGAGATGGGCTTCATCCACTCCAGTCCCCTCCCTCCAG